GTCATGTGTCATGTGTTATACCTGCATGCAGACAACCATCATCGACCCATTCGTAGAACAACCTCACCCACCCCCCCCATCCATACACCCCTGTCACACACACTAACACATCGCTCGTTGCATCGCATGGCCACAGCTGCAGAAGGACGCGGAGGGGCATTTCCAGGAGGAGGAGAACATCCGCTACACAGTCATTGCGGGCGTCTTCTTCCTGCGCTTCATAGTGCCAGCCATTCTCAACCCAAAGCTCTTTAACATGATGCCTGGTATGCGCGCGCGCGCGCGTGTGTGTGTGTGTGTGTGTGCGCGTGTGCGCGTGTGTGTGCGTGTGTGTGTGCGTGTGCGTGTGCGTGGGCGTGGGCGTGGGCGTGGGCGTGGGCGTGGAGGCTGTGTGATGCCTGTATCCCTTGCTTACCATGTTGTTGGGCGTGTGTGTATTGGTTGCCAGAGTATCATTTAGTTAAAGCGAAGTGTTCTGCATGCTCGGCCCAACAACTGGTAGTCTGTTGTGTGTGTTTCTGTGTCTCCTTAGCACTCCTCAGCTACAGATTGTCTGTTGGGTTGGCTCAACAGCCGGTGAAACCCCTAAACCCCTAAACCCTAGAAAGCACAACCCCAGCATTCCCAAGCGATACCCTCCACACCAACTCGCACCGTTATAGTACCGCACTTCTTCTCATCGGTACGCTCCCGTTACTTTCAGGTCACCCGAGCGACACGGTGGGCCGCACCCTGATGCTGGTGGCTAAAACCATCCAAAACCTGTCCAACCTGGTTTTATTCGGTGCAAAAGAGCCGTATATGAACCCCATGAATGTGTTTATTGAATCCAATCTGGAGGCCATGAAGAATGTGATTGATCGGTAAGTGCACGTGCGTGCTTGTTGTGGCCATGAGTGAGTGTGTGTGTGTGTGTGTGTGGATATAGCATAAGGCTGTCAACTTAGCTAAATCACGGCACATCATTGTGCTTTTGTATGAAGTAGGTACGTATGCGTAATATAGTATGAAGTAGGTATGTTTAGGGAATATAGTATGGAAGTAAGCACGTATAGGTAATATAGTATGAATTAGGTACGTGTAGGTAATATATTATATATTAGGTACGTGTAGGTTAATATATTATGAATTAGGTACGTGTAGGTTATATAGTGTGAATTAGGTACGTGTAGGTTATATAGTGTGAATTAGGTACGTGTAGGTAATATATTATGAGGTGGGTGCTTGTAAGTAATATAGTATGAAGTAAGTACTTCTAGGTAATATAGTTTGAAGTAGGTACGTGTAGGTAATATAGTATGAAGTAGGTACGTATAGGTAATATATTATGAAATAGGTACGTGTAGGTAATATATTATGAACTAGGTACGTGTAGGTCATAAAGTATGATTTAGGTACGTGTAGGTAATATATTATGAAGTAGGTGCATGTAAGTAATATAGTATGAAGTAAAGTACTTCTAGGTAATATAGTATAAAGTAGGTACGTGTAGGTAATGTAGTATGAAGTAGGTCCTTGTAGGTAATATAGTACGAAGTTGATCCTTATAGGTATTACATTATGCAGTAAGTACGCGTAGGTGATGTCAACCCAGAGGCCGCTTGTGACATGAGCCAGCTTGTGCTCATTCGCCATAAACCTCTACCCTTTTTCTAGAGTTTAAGGTTTAGTTATCGGTAGGGTTTCAATTACCACTGCCTCTGCCCAGCACACCATAGATATGCGCTTGTATATAACTTTCGCATATTATTGTTGTATAGTCCGTGGTATTGCGTTGTACTAACCCGCTGCTCTGTCGTTTCGCACCCACTTACTTTCGTGCGTGCACGTCCCTGTCGTTTCGCACTCACTTACTTTCGTGTACGTCCCTGTCGTGTCGCTCTCGCTTACTTTCGTGTACGTCCCTGTCGTGTTGCTCTCGCTTACTTTCGTGTACGTCCCTGTCGTTTCGCACCCACTTACTTGCGTGTACGTCCATCCGCAGGCTGTGCTGGACGCGAGAGAATGAGGAGCTCAGCCCACCGCCGGTCATAGACGAGGGCATTGAAATGGCTATGCTCTACAGAGTGTTGGTCAACATTGGTCGTGGCTTGGTGAACTATCAAGAGGAAAATAAGGTGTGTGTGTACACAGGGTGTAGGGTAATGGTCTCGTGTGTGTGTGTTTGTGTCCAGGTGCGTGCCTGTGAGTGTACATGCTTCTGGTTATGATGGGAATGCCCACACGCTGTGTCTTCATATATATGTATATTAATGTGTTACGACTTTATATTCATATATTTGTATATAAATGAGTTTCGACTTCATATACATATGTATATAAAGTGTTACGACTTCATATATATATGTATATAAATGGGTTACGACTTCGTATATATACGTAACTCAGACTACTGTACATTCGGCCCACACTGTAACGTCGTGCGTATATCTCACCTGCCCTTTGGTAGATTTTGTGAACGTATCATAAAACCAAACTGTGACTAGATATGTACCGCTTGTTTGGAACGTCTCGGCAAGCCCACATTGACGAGGAAGTTCTATTTACAGTGACATTGTTCCAATTTTATGAGTGTTTTAATTACATGAGTGTTTTAGTTGTATGAGTGTTTAATTCTATGAGTGTTTTGATTATATGAGTGTTTTAACTATATGAGTGTTTTAATTAAATAAGAGTGTTTTACCTGGTTTAACCATCTGATATGATTACATAGGACTATTACCTTGCCAGTATTTCGCCTACTTGTAGTTGAACCATGGCGTCTCACTTCACATTGCGATTCCTCGTCGACTCTAGTGAGTGGGATAGCCTAACGGCATCATGTAGTTGCTTTGTTTCACGAATTAATTGACAGCCTTCTATCATATAATCGTTTCTGTAAACCCTAAACAATCTATTATATATAATCTTTTTCAGTAAACCTCAAACAATCTATCATATATAATCGTTTTCAGTAAACCTTAAACAATCTATCGTATATATTCATCTATCTTACATAACTGTTTTGGTCCGCCAATTGACGCTGTATATACTTACTCAACTTGTATACCTACTCACAGGGAGAGGATATCGAACCCTTACTGGTCGCTTTAGGCGAGATCAAAAACTTGATGTTTCACGGTTGAGCATACCCCAAGAGCACCACAACAACATAGATAGAGAGGGCCGATGACTTCCCGTGCATACGAGTGTTGGAGTGTGTAGCTGAGCTAACTATGCGTTCATCAGTACCAATTCGTAGCCGTATTACCGGATTGGTGGAGAAGTGCTGAGGATGGGGTTTGTCCTGCTTGGCTAGGGTAGTCGAGTTACGGTGCGTGTGTATGGAGAGCATCTGCAATCGCGCATATAGCAGAGACTTGGCAGTGATTACAGGACTGGCAGGCATGTTCAACCACGTTTGTGATTAGATGTGCTTGTGTATGCAATTGTGTGCAATGCATATGCATAATAGCAAGCATGTGCCACATTGTATATACACATGATATTGGCTTTGTAGTATAAGACAGATCCAGATGAATGAGTGTAGCGAATTTGTTTAGCGGGCCAGGCTACCAGTCTAGATCTAGGATCAACACACAGCTGAGAAATTTCTTCTACTGGCGCGGTGTTTAGCTCAACACGGCACAGAGACAATAAATATAGAGTTCAATATACACATTTGACGGTGCTTGTTTCGATTCGGAGAGTCGTGCATTTGATTAGAGTGCTTGTTGGTGAGGTGAAAATAAACTGGATAAGTGTTGCAGCGTTCTTGGCTTGTCAATCCTCTCTCTCTCTCTCTCGCACTCGCTTAGGAGGGATGAGACTATAGTAGTGATCGACTGAAGAGGAGGGATTGAAGACTTGTGTATTATTTTGTTGTAGTCTATGTTTTGAAAAAAACAAAACAAAACAAAACAAAAATACATAGCCTCCTTAAACGACAATAAATAGATATGTATACAAAAACAACCCATTTTTTATTTTTTGTATATGTACATATTTCTATAATATTTACCCTTGTATAATCTAAAAAAACCCTAAACCCTAAAATATTTACCCTTGTATAATTGTATATCACTGATCACTGATCAGTCCCTGTCACTTGGCACATGTCACTCTTGTCACCGAAACTTTTTTTATTTTTTCATTTACATTTTTAAAAATGTAGGGCTAAAAGTACTCAGGAGTAGATATGGTCGGAGTCGTTTTGTCGCAAAGACATTCAAATTCTAAAATTTCGCGATTTTGCGTAATTTCATTCATCTCTAGGCATCCTGGGAGTGATGGACTCCAAGGAGCTTAGCCCTCCAGATCTACTCTCCAATCTCACCTTCTCAAAAGCCTTCACTCGACACTCTTCTGTCTTCACTGTCTTAATCTGTATCTGTGTATAGTCAGAATTCAGTACTGCAGTTCACTATTCACAATCCAGAACAGAACTGTCAGCCGTAGAACCACTGATAGAGAGTATGGGATGTGCACCTGCTGAACCCTCGAATATGAATATATAGTAACATGCAAGTACAGATATGCACATAGGATCAACATTTAAAATTTGATCACACCCAACCTTTCCAGAATGCTGTTGGTGAATGTATTCATTTCCGTGCTAGCTTTCGCTATTGGCTGCTGTGCTAAATCTGTCAGTAGTAGAAATATTGATGCGGTTGGCTTCAGCGGTTCAGGGTTCTACATATATTACCATTTTGGTGTAGTGAGAAAGCTGCGTGAGTCCGGTCTGGTAGTTCCAGGACAGACGTCGATGGCAGGTACAAGCGGCGGGTCGTATATAGCTGCGTTGAACTGTCTGGGTGTAGAGGGCGATGACGTGGAAAAAGCGTTTGATAGTCAGATCGCCCTTTGCAGTGAAAAATCATGCGAAGGTAGATTAGACAACGTCGCGTCGAAGATTCTGGAATCACTCGTCCCGGGAGGAGATGCCTGGGAAAAATGCAAGGATCTGGTGGGCGTCCATATAACCGTTGGAGAAGACGTCCGCTTTGCCGAATGCGATTCACAGCCTTCTACTGGACTGACTGTCACGGAATTCACTAGTAGAAGTGATCTCATCAGTGCACTTCGCGCATCCTCGTTTGTCAGCGGTAAATCAAAAACCGACGCCTGTGCGACACCATTCCGAAGCATGCACGCCAGAGACGGTGGATACTCGAAAGAGCTCCCGTGCCCAGAAGGACTCGAGGGCAACAACTGTCTACGCGTGGCTGTAGTTCCCAGCAGTCAATGGAAGCAGTGGTCAGAGTTGGGTGGCGATGTGCCCCTAGACAATTCAACAGATATATACCCGGGTATTCGGGGCCTGAACACCTTGCCCATTTCCGCAGAGGACTGGTTAAAAACTATGTTTGATGCTAAAGCCATTGCGCCGTATCTGGATGCATTGGTACAGTTAGGCTACGACGATACATCATTCTGGTTAGATCAGAATGTTCTATTGTAAAAATAAAACGGTTACTAGTATGCAGTATTCTTGTTCAATCAATATTTACTTTCACAGATATAAAACACGTACTTGCGTACATTTGACAAGTGTATATTTTGTAACTTAGAAGATGTAGTCTGGTCAGCGTTGGACGATTGGCGAATAGACACGTATCAATTTCGAAAGATGCATTTGTATGGAGCCTTCAAATCAGAATTTAGATATTATGTTCTTGACTTACATGTACACATACAAAAGAAACATATATGTTCACTTGCATACATACATACGTATACACACACGTGCAACAGTTATGCTTCAAATCGAAAGCTTTTCTATGCATCGCTGTGCGGTATGTACTGGTATGCGCACTCGAATATACATATCGATTAACAGTCCAGTCATGCCATCAGGAGACCCCGGCAAACAAGGGCACTTACGGTGCTTGGAGAGGGTGTATCGCACCAGGGTATTTGAATCTATATAGTCCACCGCAACAAAGTTCTGTTGGGGGGGAACAGCCACGGGTGGGGGTAAGCATGGGAATATAATACTGCCAGATAAAGAAACAGCGAATCTGTATTGTAGCCCGTGTCTTGTACTGTATTAAAATCACCACCATATCGACAGCACACAATTTCTCTCCTTTGAGTTTATACATCATTGAGAGGTTATTATTGTATGAATACTCCGATTGAGTTTGTGGACTGGTATGTTGCTGGCGATATTAGGCAAGGCCCATGCGCACTGCAGAGATTTTTAACCACAAATGTTAACGACTGAGGCAGGCCTGTAACCCAAGGCAAGAGGTCGCTCAACAACTAATGTTTGCTTTATTGATTTGATGTGCATAAGTCAGTCTAGTACGGCCTACCCCTATTGGGTTGACCTCTGTTCTGACCGTCTCCTTGCGATGGTCGCATACTTTGCTGTCTCTGTGGATGCACATACGGGTCTTGTCCATTCGGAGGCCCTCCAGAAGGCGGGCCAGATGCGGGGCCATTCGAAGGGGCTCCATTGGGAGGTCCAGCATTAGAGGGACGAGGAGGTCCTCTATCTGTGAATAAAAGGTATACGTTTACGGGTTAGCTTAGATGATTGAGCGCCTACACATAGTACATTTGGATGGGCAAGAACAGATAATGCACACGACTACGGGTAGTTGGGTCTAGTAGTTAGGTCTAGTAGTTAGGTCTAGTGACTAGTAGTCGAAGGACAGACCTGCAGTGCATATGTATCCTTTGCAGCGGATTCCTGGTGCGCATGGGACCAGGTCATAGTTAGCAAGTTTGAAATGGCTTCGATCAGAAATACATTACTCGCATATTGTACAGAAGTAATATACAGAAGATATAAAACGCACTTTGGGCTGTATCCAGGTTGTATAACCCTAATTGTACTCGGGCGCGGGCATATGCATGCATACACACACATCCTGATCAATACACACACATAGTTCCCTAAACAACCACGCAAACAAAGAAGCAAACACGGACGCAGAAGAGAAAGATCTACGGATGGATATCCGTACCCACCACGGCAGAGAAGCCATAACATACACATTCTCGCCTCACCTTGTGCCTGGTGCATATAGTGGCCGTGACTGGGCGGAAGCCCTTGCCCCGAGAAGCCTTGTTGCGGCTGGTACCCCCCACTCATATTATTATTATTATTATTATTATTGTACGGGGGCCTATTACTCGGCCTATTGCCTTGCATCTGGTTGGGTGGGCGGTTGCCCATCATCTGGTTTCGATCCTGGCTGGCATTCCACTGAGGTGGGGGGCCACTGGGGCCTCCAGAGGGGCCTTGGGGGGGGCCTCCTGTGGGTGGACCTGTGGGAGGGTGTGGAAGAGATTTATGGGCGATGAGTGCATATGACACAAGGGTATGTGAGTGTGCAATTGCTTTCAATCACTCCTTAAAAGTACCTGGACGACGTTGTGTATATCAGATATGCGCAGTTTCAATACTCGCAGCCCAACACACACTGCACATACACGTCTATAGATGCACACACACAACACACAGCTACAGATACACACACGCACACATATACACCTCTACGCGACTATACATACACGCGCACATACACACACTCCAAAACTATAGATTTACACACGCATACATATATACCTCTACGCGACTAGACATACGTGCACACACATACACACACTCCTACACTAAAGATATACACACGCACACATACACACTCCTACACTATAGATATACACACGCACACATACACACTCCTACACTATAGATATACACACGCACACATACCACCAGTTGGAGGTGGTCCCATCGGAGGTGGCCCGCTCCCACCCATATTAGGGTGTCGCATTGGCGGTCTATTCTGATTGGTCGGTGGCCGAAAGTCACTGCCCATTGCTCGATTCTGATTGGCTGGCGGTCTGTAGTCGCTTCCCATCGGACGGTTCTGATTGGCCGGCGGCCTGTAGTCACTCCCATTCGGCCGCACATTACTGGACGGCGGTCTGTACCCACCCATGAAGTTGGGGTTATCGTAACCTCTGCCTCCATTGATAGGTGGAGCACCTGAGCTATTGGGATTGCCCGTGTTGGTGTTGTTGTTGTTGCTGTTAAAGGGAGCTCTGGGTTTGTTGAAGCCACCCCCGCGTGGGCCGGTGGAGCCAGCCATACTGAGCTTGGGATGCGCACCTGTGGTTAGAATACGTATTGGTAGCACGTTTATCAAAGGGTTTAGGAAAACCCTAACCTTTACGGGTCCCTATAGGCTGTGCAACCGTAGTAGGGTCGTACACGCAAAGTGGAAAGGAAAGCCAATAACAACAACAACAACAACAACAACAACCCTGAAACGCTACGCGTTTATCTCACACACGACACCTACCGTACGCGTCCTTGCCGCCTCCCAACCCAGGAATGCTCATCTGTGTATCTGCAGAGGGTGACGAACAGATGTTAGAGAGTGAGCGCATGAAATAACCATACGAAAGCAGTCAACTAGAGGCAGGGTGCAACCAGACCCACAAGTAAAAACTAATGTGACTAATTAGTGACGCACACAAGCACTGTACAACCAGACCCACAAGTAAAAACTAATGTGACTAATTAGTCACGCACACAAGCACTGTGCAACCAGACCCACAAGTAAACACTAATGCGACTAATTAGTCAAGCACACAAGCACTGTGCAACCAGACCCACAAGTAAACACTAATGTGACTAATTAGTCACGCACACACGCACTTTGCTGAGGTGAGGAAGACCATAACAAGCACAACAAAGCAACTTGATCTGAATAGTTTCACGGGCGTTTTGTGCATTTTTTATCCAACGGAGAATATCAATAACAAATGTACCCTAAATATTAGCATGCATGAATCCAAACTATAAATAAATAAAATCGTACCATAAATACTTACATACACATACAAAGGTATTCCTGTCTCTAAGTGCGCCTATGATGTGACCGGTCCATGCACACACTCACCTACACCTCCACGCACGCAAGCACACACACACACACACACACACACACACACTTACAAACACACACACATACACACATATATATATACATTCATACATACATACACACACATATACACACACACACACACGTACACACACACCTCCCGAGGACATCGGCACATTCGTTCTCACAACCCCGAATTCCTCATCCGTGCCCAAACTGCCCAGCGGACTGCGTGTCCAGAACTTTGTGCTGTGGTCATTCGAAGCCGAAGCCAACATGTGGCCCATGGGATGCCACGCAAGGTCCCAAATGTTGCTCTCATGCGCGTTGATGCTGCTTCCCGCCTCTTTCTCGTTGCTGTAGCGGTGGTGGTGGAGTGGTTGTGTGCATGGAGATTTTAGTGCATGATATATATATATAATACATATATATATATATATATACATTTAAATATATATATATATAGACACGCTGCTTTAGGGAAAAGAACAGCAGAGGTGACAAGGGCGGGGTACTACATGACATACACGGACACGTGATTTTACAAGGTTGCTCAAGTTCACATAGCTGCATCCTATCCACTCTTTCGTATCGAGGTGGTGGTGTATGGGACGTGGTTGTATACGTGATGAGTGAACAACCGTCAATAGGCTCAACACGTGGTCTCACAAGCTACTCTCGCATGCGTTGATACTGCTTAACTATTCGTTCATACTACGGCGGGTTGCCATGGAGACAGTCGACTACTTAGCGTTTTTACATGAGGTTGGTAGGTAGGTGATTGTAGGTAGATAGGTCACTATGAGCTGTCCGTGGTGATACGAACAATGAGCAAGCGGCACACTATCAACACCTGTACAAATACCAGCGGGGGTCCCTCTCTACTCTCAGCCCCAACAGCACATGGCTATACACACTCAGCCACCCCATAACAACAGCCCCGGGACCAACCCTAACACACAACACCGTGCATACCCCACCAGCCAGTAGAAGATGCTGCCCTCGGCACACCCACTGGCGAAAAGCCGTTCGTGCACTGGGTGCCATGCGACTGTGTTGACTTCCTTGCGATGGCCTTTGAAGGAGTCCAACTCTCGCAATGTCCGCATGTCGTACACCTGAAGGTATGAGCATGGGACAATAGAAGTCCCGAGTGAGCAGACCAGGGGATGGGCAGATACGCAGACAGGTAGGTAGGTAGGACGACAATTCAGTCCACACACAAGTATATATATATATATACATACATAGGTCCAAGAAAAACATAAATGCTTAAATACATATATATATTTACATATACATATATATATATATATGTATATGTATTATATGTATTATATATATATATATATCTATATATATATGTATATATAACATATATATATATATATATATAACATATATATATATATATATTCGTATAACTTCGTATAATGTATGCTATACGTAAGTTATTTACGTTTCGTACTTCATATACATATGTATAATAAAGTCGTT